CTGGAGCACTACAGTGGGCCGGACTAAATTAGTCGAAATCTTAAGCACTAACGCGCGACACTGGCCGATCACCTTAAGACAATCTGCTTACCTTAAAGCAACCGGTTGAACCGGTCGGTCCAGAGGGTCCACAGTTGCTTGAAGCCCTGGTGTCAACCAAGTAACTTACGTGTTTGATGGACACACTGATACTGTGAAGTCCGCCTAGCACTCGGTCATAGATCTTTTTCATACCACCATTTGAGATGACCTGAAGGACAGTTTTCTTTTCAAGCGCAGTCTTTTCTTGAGCAATGGGCGCTGAAGCATAGGTATAGAGCTGATAAAGGCGAACAAGCCGCTCACTCTTTGGGATCGGGACTTACGTAGAGTAGACGATCATAGAGAATATCGCAAAGGTACGGACAAGCTACCAACGACTCGCGCGACTCGAGTAGTCTTCTCGATATTTGTCAGTGATTTCTTGAGGAGGTCTTTGTTCAAATGCACCACCAAAACTGTGGGACTCGTCAGCGTCGATTGCAACAAGCAGTTCAAGAACGGGCAAGCAGTTTCGGCGTGCAAGTCAGCTACATAGTTGTTGCACAGGAAGTGTGGATGCTGGTCAGAAAATCGGGTGGTTTACTGAAACTCGATTCCATAATTCGTATATGCGTATTAAGTTGCCCTGAGAGAGAGGTCAGCGAAGATCGTTGTGTAGGTAACAGCAGTTACTAGAGATTGTACAAGCCAGTAGGATGATACTTCCTGGCTTGGCCATGATGATCCGCGCTCGCAGCCGACGCGACCGTGTGCACACCACGATATTCAGACGCATGAAATATACGAGATAGCTGTAGAGGAAGACAGGTTTCCTAGAAGCTAGGCTTCGGCCCTCAAAACGCCTCAATGAAGCTCTCACGCCTCGTAAAGCAGCCTGAGAAACACTACACCTGGCTTACAATGAGAGGATAGAGACAGCAGTCGTAGTCCTCCAGAATGCAGCTGAGGCTGGTCACCTGTTGCATCGCAGATCCCCGCCAGAAGAGAGCCTTGAGTGTAGCGATGTATGACCACAGACGAGGCCTCCGAACATGTCGCACCGGCACCTTTATAGTCACTGACCCACGCTACGCTTATGCTGATAGAATGCCATCTGTAAAGCAAGTGCCAACAATCTGCACTACAGTGTCAGCCTACATTACAGTACTTACTGTCCGCCGTGTCGAGAATTCTGCCTTCTCAAGTGATCAAGTTCAAAAGTATTATGTATGTCCTCGGTGATAAGCAGGAGAATAGCATAATGCTAGCTGCTAGCATAACGACGATGGAAGCTGACCTCGACACGTTTCCCATCGCTGACATGGCTGCGTACGGAGATCAGAGATAGGTACGACGGTAATACTGCTGACCGTATTTATGGAGGTGAGCAATTGGTATCGAAACCATGGTTGTGGCAGCGCTGTTCCCTCCAAGTAGTCTCTGATGATCACGTATCTTGATATGCCGAGATTCGCCTCGCTGACCCCGCAGCAAGCCGAACGGTTCGTGCGACTCTGGGTGTCTACGTTCCGAATGACAACTCTAACAATGACAATGAGCAGCAACATCAGTGCCACATGTGAACGAGAACTGCCAGGGCTACGGGACAAATCGTATACCAGCCGCGAAATGCATCATGGAGCATGGAATCCACCAGTCATTACCAATCACGCCTAAGGTTGCCTACGTTGACAGGTTAGCCATGTAGATAAAATGCTGGCGTCCATCAACGTAGTGTTGAGAGGATCATAATCGATATGCTATCAACGGGTAATGTAATCGCAACACCAGCGTAATACGCTATGATGAGCCACATGTGATGACCGCCAGAACCAGGTGCGGGTCATGCCACAGTGAACACGTACTGACCATGTAGTCTGACTAGGTAAGCGTCATCGCTCTCGTGCTGCCTGTCATTGCACGATCGGAGCGCTGCAGGTCAAGCATGGAAGGAATCGACGAACTGCATCTGCACCTCGCTCGTACTTGGCTGTGCCTGGGGTATTACATGCCCACTGTGTCGGTCTTAAGAAGGCTTGACACGGCTAAACTCACGTAATGAAACGAAGGAGACTAAATCATACTTGAATGGGAACGTGGTTCTTTACATCGTGAGCACCATGGCGGAATTACGGGAGACCAAAGTCTTCGTCTGTTGGTGGGTTGGTTGTTTTATTCCTACTCGGTTTCAGCCGCGAAGTCCGCAGCTATGCCCAGTTGACAGGCGTGGCAGACAGCCGACGCAGCGCGGACATTGATCCGCGCCTCCCCACTTCACTCTTGAAAGAGCCATCTGTCCCCAGAGGCCTGCGTTGTCTGGCTTCTATCTACGACTATGTACATTTCGTCTCTAGAAGTGACGTGTTTGCCTGTCTGTATGTTTCCTCGAATTGTCTTCCTGTGTGTATGCCATACTCGAAGCCTCATGTGTGTAATGTTGTTTCAAGGCTCGTCGAGGCACGTTTGCCTCATGCTTTGCGACTGCAATAGTTACCGATGATGACGGCCAACCGGCCCCCAGCCAAACCGAGCCACATGAACACCAAAACAGCTCTACAACTTGAGGTTGTACAACCTCACACAATAGTTATTATCACGATTTTCTCTAGTAGTGATATCTATAGGCTTTAATTAATATATATAGCTATTGATATCGTGTAGAAGGCGTGATGTTGCGGCTACGCCGTGACCTGAGAACTGGTACGCCTGCAACAGCACCTTGAGGCTCTCCACCACCTGTCGGCCTCGCGATAGATCTCTTTTTTATAGTAGCTCTTATAGAAGCCTTGAAGCTGTGTTTCTTACATTTTTGGGGTTTTTTAAGAGCTTGTTTGAGTCGTTTTGCAGTCCTGCGAGCAGCTGCCCTGGAAGCTTGTTCAGCAGCTGTCTCAGCCTTCTCCTTCTCTCTCACCAACCTAGCTGCAGCCCTCGCCTGACGCCTCCACGAAACATGTGAACCAATTAGAGCCAGAAGAATTGGAGTGAGGGCTGAGTGGATTTAGCCATATATCTCTAGAGAATCAGCACCTGATTCGCGTTGCACGAACGCGTTGCACGAACGCGTTTTTGGGGCAGGATGCACGATTACCTGACTGGGAAGAATCAGGGGTCGATACCACGGGGCATCTTATACTAGGCATCGCGTGTTTTTACTCTGCAGAATGCAATATATGCTGTCCTGTTTCAGTATATGGAATCGACGATCTCCTGGCGATTGCATCGCGAAAGACGTTTGTGGAAAAAACAGCGCTTAATGCAATCTGCTATCTTAATGACTAACGTTACATGTTCCATTCAATGAGCTTATCACTCCTGAGTATGTCCCGCTGCTGCTTCTTCCTCGCCTCCTCCCGCTCCTCGGGTGGAGAATTGATGTCATAATATTTGGCGCAATCATCTTTAAACCAATCCGCTGCCGTAACGCCGTTGGTACGTTGTGGCCAAGCTCCCGTAACCAATGTCTCCAGTTCATCCGAGTTTATAATGGTGGGTCCGTGGGCACGGAGCGAGAACACAATGCTGAGGCGATGACAATTGTTCCCAGACGAAATTAGTTCAAGGGGTGAGACCATTGACGGACTCTCCGTACCCGCAAAGCTTGGTTCCTGCACGCCATAGCTTACAACTCTGTGCAATCCTGCAGGATACCTCCCATTGCTTAACCTCTGTAGATCGCGCCCAACCAGCATGATTGCTTCTTTCTTTCCAGATCTTTTAATCTCCTTCTCAATCTCAAACCATCGATCGCCACCCCAGACCTCTAATCCAGGAATATTTCCTAGGACGACAGTGAGAAGGCCGGAGTCAACATGATGCTCTGTGAGCTGTTTCACTTCGCAGCTATCGTAGCGGAAGAGCTGGAGCAGTGAGGCTGTTTTGTCTTTCTGCCTTGTGGGCATAGTGTTGCAAGGTCCAATGAATTGTCTGAGTAGCTGCTTTCCCTTCGTGCTCCCGCAATCTTTCATATCTAGAGAGCATTCAATGCTTTCCAGCGTATCCTCTAGGAGCTTCCCCATCCAGTCCCAATACATCTTTGCCGACTCCCGCAAGATCTCTGGACAGTCCTCCAAGGTCTGCAGAATGATATACTCCTTCTCTCCTGGAATCTTGCGCCAATTTTCCCACCTTTTTTTTTCTTCGACTGATTGGTCGAAGAACTTTTGGCTGTTCGCGAGTAACGCTTCAGACGCATGGAGGAGCGGGTGTGGGCTTGTTTGTGGAGGACATAGTTCCGTAGTATCCACAGCCGCCGTAGCACCTGAATTGGGTGGTGCGAACGCGATAGGCGTCCATCCTAGTTTTGATAGATGATCCTGATTCTTATCATCGACTAGTGGTAAGGGCGAGCCAATGAGCTCTGGTAGAATATCTTGCGACATCTCATAAGAGTTGCACTTGACTACGAAGGTGAACGAAAAATGTTACGACTATATAAGTGAAGAAGTCTGCAGCATACATAGCATCGATCGTCATGCCATCTGCTGCTTACAATCGCGTTGACGGACTTCTTACACGTTTGTGGAGCAAATCGCAAACGACCATGAAATACTACATGCTGCATCGTTGCCTCTGCACTGATCAGTGATTACAAGTTCAGCATGGGTTCTCATCGCATGCGGCACAGTGAAGCCACCATACTTTGGTCTTATCAGGCATAAAGAAAGATAGTGACACACCAGCCTCGCTCTTCTTCCACCCTGATCAAAATCCCACCTCGGCTTGTAGCAACTGCATCCATCGTAAGCGGTTTCTTCCGCACTGCCTATGCCGTCGTGTATTGGATGAGTTGATGCTTCAATGCATCGTTTTGCCGGGCTACAGCCGTGGGCAGTGCGAGAGCAAATACGATACCTCTCGCTGGGAATCGATCTGCTTATCCTGCGCGCTTTGCCTGACGAAGAAAAGTGAACCTTAGGCGTCAGGAACATTCATTCATTGACGTTTAGCCCCACCTCGGCCTGTTGAAGCTCTGTAATGGACCATGTCAGCCCCACGAGCGTCGTCACTCTTATCACTGTCATCATTATCATTATTGTGATTGTCATCATTATCATCAGGATGCTGCGCCGCATGACTGCGTACCTGCGATAACAGTACTGTAACGACGATTGAAGTTGATCTCAACACGTTTACCATAGGCTATGGTCCATAGCTGACATGGTAGCGTATGGGCTTACCGATGGGGCCCGAGATAGATGAAGTCTTTTCAGAGCTCTCAGATGATAATATAGACCTAATGGGCTGGGTTTGAGGTCGGTATAGCTGTCCAATGTAATCCGGGTTTTATATGGGTTAACGCGTTATGGCTTAACCCGTTCAGTGATTATGAGGATTAACCGGTTTAGATTATAGGCCTAGGCTTAACGCGTTAGTAACCAAGTGCCCAGGTATGATGCAGAGGTTTGGCAAACAGTCGACGCTCCGCCGATAGACACCACTGCTGACAAGTAAGCAGCTTACGCTGCTCAAGCGGCCATGCGCGCAAAACTAAGCGACAGAGTGCTCGATTTCTCACCTTAACCTTCCAGCACATCTTTTCCCATTCACCCACACTTCTCATGCCAAGATGAAGTCTTTGTTCGCTATTTTCATAGCCGCCCTAAGCCTGCTAGCTGGCACAGTGAGTGGCTTCCTGCCAACTTGAGCGGTTGTTTGCATTATCGCCTAATTGAGCCAATAGATCAGCGCCACGGCCGTACCTGGAGACTACGAGCTCTCTGTGGACAGCCTCGAGACGTCCACTGATAACATGGCTGTCGGGAACTTGGAGGTGACCGACGACCGGTTCCCCGGCGTCACCTTCACAGGCACAGCGCAATCCGTCAACGAGCAGATGAAGGCGCTCAAGCCTGAGGCCTTCCGCGACGGGGACAACGTGGAAACTGTGCAAGCGCGCTCTTTGCGCAAGCGATCAAGTGTAATCCTCCAGGGTCTTAACCATCGTTCGTTAGCATATTGACTTCGTTGTCAACAGATCAACTGCAACTGGGGTGGTGACATTCTCGGACCGAAGTCTTGCAATGATGGCTTCAATCGCCTGAGAGACCTCGGTAGCGCCGAGTGCTGCGTGCGTGGCGAACTCAACCACTGCGCCTTGATAAGCTGCTCGTACAAGTGCGGTGTCTACTTGTGCAACAAGGTATTCCTCAGTCACCAAGCTTGTTTTTAGTTGTAGGGAGCTATCCTGACTCCTTATCTTAGCGCGACACCCCATTCTGTGCTGCCTGTGGTGATATTGCCAAGGATATGGCGAAGATCATAGGAGAGTGTAAGAAGAATTATAATATCCAAACTCCTGCTGGAGCATTGGACTTTCCCGATCACTTCGTCGGCTTAGCTTCGACTGCAAGCTGTTAGAGTATGGCAATCAGGTTTCCCTTTCGGAGCATTTGAGGCGTTGGCGAGAACCTCATAGATATACACATCACACAGAATGGACGCGATAGAGGTCTACATTATCATATCTGCCACTCAGTTCCCTAGTCTAAAATATTGTAACAGCAACTTTGGGTTCCATACGACCTTGTCTACCTTTCCTATCATCTTCTCTCTACTACCGCCCCGTTCCGTTTCCATGTTCCAGGGAGTGTTGTTCGTCGCTCAGACAAAGGGACCTCACGTGCTCTTCAATCTCTTGTTTACTCTGGCGGTCAACTTCAATCGTGGAGCCCTGGACGAGAAAATCGAGGTTCGTCAGGATTTCGCGTAGGATTTGACAATTGCAGGAGGAAAAAAAAGGAATTGGGCGCGTAATTTTGAGATTACATTGCGGCAAAACTTTGTCGAGATACACGGGCGGCAGGCTTCGTAATCTTTTCAAAGTTTGCCCACACTCTGCACACTTCAAAGGATTCGTCATGAGCTCTTCCTTATCACTCGACCGGACGAATCGATCATTTTGCCACGACACACGCAGGAAAATATGACAACTTCAACCCAAGGCTCAACGGTCGTATATGGTCGCCTTTACCTTAGTGACGAAGACATCAAAGACATCAAAGACATATTTCAGGTTCTATACTCTGAAATGACGGACAAAGAGGACGAACACGGAATGGATCGTGACGACGTAGAATACAAAAAGATGTTTGCCGAAAAGACCCAACGCATGTCCAATCTCCTCGGCGGAAGCGCAGATAAACCGGCGCCCAAAACTCATCCTGCAAAAGACACCAGCACAAGCAAAGAGATGGGCGAAACATCACTCGTCGAACCACGCCATCAAGACAAGTAGAAGCCCATGGCCTCCGCTCCCCCAACCTAACCGAAAGCTTGCACAACCTACAAGTCAGCAGCGAAGTCCTCGTCGTGCCTCAATCTTCCTTCGCCAAAACCCTCGCTACACGCGCTTCCGACGCTAATTTTCTCGTGTTGCCCCGGAGCGAAACAGGCGGCATGTCCGAACCAGCCATCATCCACACAGGATCCCGTCTTCACGATACACAAGACTTGCCAGATCTTGGTGCGAGGCTGGAAGAAGTTGGCTTGCTGCACAATTTTCCGTTCAGGGCTCATTGGTCTCCCGTGCGTCGTCCACACGTACGTGACAGGCGTGTATAGATAGTCGATCGATTCAACAAAGCCTAGGAGCTTCCGCCGATGAAACCAACAAATCTTGTAGGCTAGGTTCATCCCGATAGTTGCCAAAGGCAATTCTGTACTCAATAGTCTTACATGGTCGTAGCCCCTCCCGCTCAACCTTTCCCTGATATGAAATCTCATCCAACCCTTGACCTGGGATCAATTAGTTCAAACAAACAACCTTCTTTCTTTCGATGGCTTACTCTTGTCTCCAATAATCTTTTTTTTTTCTGAGGCCGAGATATTTCCAAGGTACTTTGCTTGCCCTTCATACCACGCCTTGGATATATCCTTATCAAAACAAGTTCGACACAAAAACTCTATTTCAATGTTGGAAATGGACTCGGCAGATTCACAGTTTGGCGCGCATTTCGACGATGCGTACTGTTTAGTAGGAGTTGCAACAACGAAGTGATTACATTTGAGCTTGTGGACAGGGTTTCCCTCACAAGGTGGAGCCTTCGTGGTGTACAAGGTCATCTCGTAGCCACTTGCGAAGCTGGATAGCTGAATTCGGTGCGAAGACTGGATGTAAGGGGCTGCGCAAAGTATGCCGATGCCTGGTAACAGGATTGTATTCGATGAAGAAGAAAACCTATCTATGGTGCTGCGATATCTATATACGTTTAGCTTATCGTTCGCGTAGCATCTTGAAGCTTCTAGAATGCCGAGGAGGCTCCGAAGGTTCCACCGAGGATCACTATAGCATCCGGGCTCTAGCCCGTTACACTGGATGGTTGAATGTTCTGTAACAGTAGTAAGAAGGGAGATCTGAGTTATATCTACGCAAAGACTGCATCACTAGTTGATCCGGCACCACATCGGATTGCTTGCAGCCAATAAGAGATGCTTATGTAATCAGATTTGGCAGCAGACCCATGGACTCTACCCTGGTTATGCAGCCCCTTGTTAGTAGCCCACATAAAAAACTTATGCCGGATACCATAGTAGTGATGCATGAAGAAACCAAAAGTACTTGCACACAGCGTTACAGGAGCGAGCAGTGGGACCGGCCTACGATGGGCCGGTTAAACAGTGCTCGAGCTCGGCAGGCATAGGTGTAAGCCCAGGGTACCTTGCATGGTCACGTGGATTATCCAGCGACCAATCAGTCCACTACTCTATGTATATAAGCTTAGATCGCAGAACTCTCGGTGATAAGCAGAATACACACAATCTACTTACACTCTATCTACAATACCCGCACCCAATCGTGCGACAAGTACAAACTAATCGCGAGCATGCTGCAAGTCTCTCCACCAAAAATCTCGTAATAATAACTATTGTGTGGCTCTCTGCAGCCTCATCTTTGTGATGATGGGCATGTTGTTAGTGGGGCGGCACGCGAACCGGGGCGGCACGTGTGTCGAAACAGTATTGGGCGGTCGGACGAGTTCGGACGAGTTCGGACGTGTTACTCAGCAAGCTGACGCCCTTCTCAAGCGGGACCGGTCCCATCTTCTTCACTCACCACTGTACGACAATGACAACCTGCGTGAGATGAGTCTCACACCTGCGAATCGCATGCGTCTCGGAACGCGAAGCTGCGCCGAGTGTCGACGCCGAAAGGTCCGTTGCGTATTCTTGCCCCACCGCAAGGGATGTGAGAGCTGCGCAACCCACGGCACACCTTGCAGGACTCAACAACCTAAGCGACGGCCTGCAGTTTCTCTGCAACGATCCGAAGAGCTCGGGGGTGCATTCCGTCAGTTGCCTGATATCGCCCAGTTGGGCAGGAGCTCTTTCCCGGACTCTCACTCGTCTCCCTCCTACCTCTCCACAGCATCTTCGGATGGCGCACAGCTCCACGCCGCTCTCGACCCTTCGGATGAGGGAATAGGGCATCTTGAGAGTGTACCGCTGATTAACCTCTTTAGAGATGCCAGGCTAATCCAGAGTATCGACGGGTCGCCACACAAGTCGGTTCCTACCGCTGGCTTGGATGTACGTGTGCAAGACGCTACCCGGTTGCTCATGGACTCTGTCCCCAGCCAGCCAACGTTACGGTTGATACTCTCAGAGACCAACCGATATTGGCTCACTTGGCCTTTGTGCTATTATGGCAGCGACACATCCGATTTCCTTCAGCCTGATCGGGTAACGGTGACGTCCCGGAACATTCAACCTTCGAAGGATGGCACAGAGTCTGTCATTCGTCTCCGTCGCGTCCGGCTCCCAGCGCATCTACCAGTGCCTCTCTGTCGCAGTTACATTGTTACGGTGAATGAGGCTTGACGAGGCTTCTTCGCTTCAACCTTCGCTAAGAGCAACTACAACCCAGCTTGTGTCAAACTGTCTTCCCGAAGAGACTGGGGTCAGAGAGTGCAACATCCGACTTGCTGCTGGCCGGCCGCCGATTTACCGCCGACTTGTTGAAGTTGAAGGGTGGCGTCAGGTGGGGATCCCAACGGCGAGCTGTGGTAAGTTTGATAACGAACTGCGGCTAGCGTGGTATCTCCCCCCGTTGTGGAAATCTGTTCCCCGCCGAAGTACCGAATTGCTTTACATCCACACAACGTCATACTAGCAAAATTGTAAATAGGTTTTTGAACGTTGTATGATACTCTAGGGTCTTGCAAAGCTTCCCTAAGATTCTAAAGCAAAAATTTGGTCTGTGTTGTGGTTCAATCGCATGTTAAAGTTGGTGACATCTTCGAAGAGATCGCTAACTTCAACTCCACTTAGCTCATTCCTATGACTGTTGGATCTCACAAAATGTAGATGAGAGATACTTTAGCGTATGCAAGACGTATTGCCAGCCTCAAAGATGTAAAGTACACGTGGTGTTGCGGTGAAATCGCATTGCGCAGCGCAAGAGCTGCCGTTTTCGGCACTTCGGCGGAGGACAAATCTTAAAAACGGAGGGAGAATCATGCCAACCATGGTTTAGAGTGACTCGTTTTGAATTCAACCACGATGGTTATGTATACTGTGAGGGCGGACGATCGCCCACCTGGAACGGTACTGTCCTCGCTCCAAGCCCGTACCTCATGCAGCCCTGCCAGTTCAAAACGGCAGAGGATGACCCACAAGCACCTCAGCTCCCAACATGCGTTCAAATCCGAATGGCGATGTATAGGCCTAGAACCACATCACATGCCTGCTATGCAGGCATGACTAAAGTGCCCGACTACTTGAGGTCAGATCACACACATGTAACCTACACACAACAATTCATCCACATAAGAGTTAGTACTTATGCCACCCTGCTTACACATCCAGCGCACCAGGAGTTATGAGCTGGTCTAGGGAGGACGCTACCCGACCAGCCATCACCGAGACAAGGTAGGCTCAGTCGCTTTGCCTGAGATTATAGAGTGGAGCCTTCACCGGAACCTTTATCGGGTTGTGCCGTCAAGATAGAAATATTGTCTAATAAAGTCTGGTGTAGATTTGGACATGCTCAAACTTAACATTTTCTTCACTGAACCGCGGGACTTTCCGCCTGTATTCCGCCACTAAATACTAGTCAGTCCTCGCCTTCCACCAAGCTGCATGTTTCTGGTCGAACTTTTAAGACTTTTTTGCATCCGCAGTTCCCGATTTACCTGATGCAATGTCGCAACTTAGGCCGCTTCAACGAGATGGTAGGACGAGATTGTCCAGCAGCCGGGCACATGTATATAATAGATTGGAGTGGCTACGGATTGGGAGCCTCGGTTTGTGTCTAGGAAGGTCTGAATTGGAAGCTTAGCAGTGGGCAGAACCATAAGTGCGAAGCTGCGGCCAGCAACGAGAGTTGTTCCATGCTAATGAGTGCGTAAGCTAGCATCACAGTCCGTAACAAACAAGTCAAGTAAAGCGCACCAGCTCAAACAGCTGGTCCTAGCCACACTTCAGGATGGGACTTCGAGCAATGAAGTTTCTTCTGAGGTATACTGCCGGAATTCCACCGTTGCGTAGGTGCGGCCCGGCAGGGCAACCCTATACCGCAGGATACAACGCCTGTATGCAGCAGACAAAGACAACTGTTTAGCGTAAAGCCACTTTCTAAGCAGCCGTTGAGCGGCCGTTTCCGAAGGTCAAGGATGGATACGTGCATGACTGGGCATATGGTAATGGTACGGTTATTCGAACAAGCGATGTTGCTATTGCTAGCGTACCAAAGTCTTGCCAAGCCAATCAGCTGAGCTGTTGTACCAATGTGTGTATTGGACTCCCTGAAAAGGGCTTTGGTTCGCTAGCGATAGCTGCAGTTCTCAGCGATTACGGTTTCGCCCCTACGCATAACTGCAACACTGTTTGCCGGCACCCCACCCTTCCATGTGTAGTGTCGCACGGTTGGGTGGGGGTGTTGCAGGTCTGGCATAGTAAGAAAAGCGTATTTTTTTCCTGTTGTTCTAGCATCATAGCCTAGCTTATATTCAGGCCCTTGCGGGGCCCGATTAGTAATGTGGCCCATGTTCAGGATAGCGCTTGGCCTGCGACATATGGGTCGACGCCTGACTTCTATCATACAACAGTCGATACGATTGGCCAGTTTCCGATAGTACAATGTCTGGACTCCGGTGATGCTGCTTGCAACGGTGAAGCCGCAATCCCTAGCGATTGTAGCCAGTCATCCGCATTACCATATAGTAACCATATGCCCAAGTATAGATCTGCGTTACGACGCCGTAAGCTCATTAGTTCGACAATTAGGGCTGGGGCCATCTACAAACTTCCAGCGAGAAGGAAAGAATGGACTTGCAAATCTAAGCTCCTCCCCTCCCGAGTGGCGGTGGTTTGAGGCCTTGTTCATCAGCTAGCGTTATTTAATTGACCCCTCTCTAGACCCTTCTTTAAGGGTGGCGATGTCTCCCCTGTCGAAAAGCACAGCTTGCACCAAAGTTCTCGTCATTTTATCGCAAGCACTTGCTTCGTCAATCACAGCATCATGGATTACACATACTTCGGCAGAGTGCAACAGACATATCCCCATTTCATGGGCATGCCTCCAAACGGATCTGCGCACATTGATGTTGACCCTGACGCTATCAGAAGCCTTGTACGGTATCCACCACAGCAAGCTGTTCTGAAGCCGCGGCCCCGCACTTCAGCTTTGCAATCAAGGCACGTGACTAACCCGAACACCGCATAGGAACCGCTCGACCTTTCCAGCTTCCCAGCCTCTTGCGATCCGTTCACATTCCATGGCCTGACGACCCCACAGCAGGACTCACTCGACGCTGCAGTAGCACTCACACCGATGCCTGTTGCTAGCGAGGACTCGGGTCTTGGAGGAGATTTTGACCAACGGAGGGCTAGCCGAACGAGCAGTAGCAGTAAAGATAAGCAGAGCCTCATGTGTGCCCAGAACAGACGGAAGGCCCAAAACAGAGCAGCGTACGTTCCATGCCCTTGTCATGCTCGCCCTCTAGCCACTAAGCTTGACTTAGCCAGCGCGCTTTTCGGGAGCGAAAAGAGAGATATGTTAAGGATCTTGAGAGCAAGTTATCTGCGCTCGAATCAAGTACGAACTCTCTTCAATCCGATGTCGAGCGACTCAAGCTCGCACTGCAATGTGTCCGGACGGAGAATGAGATTTTGCGAGCCACAACTGGACAATCACTTACGACATCACAGCCAGTGTCAGTGAGCTACTCAGCACCAGACGCGCATCTCCAAGATAATGACGCCAAGGAAGACGCTTGCAATGTTCAAGGATCCCGAAATGGGAGCATGATCAACGCTGCCGGTAAGGACAATGCTGCCTCCCGCCGCAAGACCAAGGGCCGAGAGATCCCTGTTGCCCAGGCTTGGGACTTCATTCAGTCACATCCTTTTGTTAAACAGGGTCTAGTGGACATTGCAATTGTCTGCGAACGACTGAGATGGGCTGCAACGTGTGATGGTCACGGACTTGTCTTTGAAGAAAGCTTAATCTGGCAGGCCGTCGAAGAGTCGAGACGAATCGGTGGGGACGGACTTATCTGATCACCAGTGACACTTGCTGCGCAAAGTTTCTCGGTAATCCTTCTTCTTGTAAGGTGAACGACGGAGAAGGGGGGAGTGAGTGCGTGAAATCTGAGTCATGTGACCAGTAGCCCTTTAACGTGGCTATCGCTTATGCTGGGCGTGACTATCACAGCTATCACAATTTGTATGTAGATCACAGCGAATGCTTTCAAAATATTCACATTCAACTTGATATTTGGTGCTGAATTCCCTGTACCTGCGGGCTCTGCTTTATAGGAATTGGATATAAGCTAGCGGCCACCGAAGCTGGCCACCCACTGAAGCTGGCCACCCTTCCAGAACTTGGCCACCCTTCCAGAACTTGGCCACCCACTCCACGCTCGTGATTTCTCCATAACCACGCAACCAAAATGGATCCCCGTGAAGCAGCAATTCAAGCAGCTATTAGCGACGTTGTTTCTGGTGTTTTTACTAGTCAACGAGCTGCTGCAAAGGCGTACAAGATCCCTCGAAGCACGCTTGCGGCCCGACTACGTGGTACACAGACACGTCAATCTAGCCACGAATACCAGCAGCGATTAACTCCACAACAAGAGGAATTTCTCGTACAATGGATCCTTGAAGAGGACGCACGCGCGTTTCCTCCATCCCACGCGCGCGCGCGAGAAATGGCGAATCGAATCCTGAGGATGAATGGTGACAACAATCCTGTGGGCAAGCGTTGGATATGCTTCTTTCTTAAGCGTAACCTACGCGTCGCATCTATTGTTGGTAGAAAGATAGAGGGCTCGCGGGCTGAGGGCGCAACACAGGAACAGATACGCGCGTTTCTTGAGCTCTTTGAGAGGACTCGCGTACGACTAGGTATACGCACTGAGGATATGTGGAATATGGACGAGACTGGCAAGGCTATGGGGGTATGTGCAAACACTAGAGTCCTCGCAGATAGCCGTAAGAGCAAGGCTTACAAGCAGTCGCCAGAGAATCGCGAGTGGGCATCAATAATCGAATGCGTGTCAGCTACGGGCAAGAAACTGCGCTGCGGGGTGATATTCAAAGGCAAGAACCTACAGAGTACTTGGTTTCCTGCGATAATACCCGACTGGCTTTACACAACCTCTGAGAACGGCTGGACATCGAATGCGATAGGCCTCGAATGGCTGCAACGGATATTTCTGCCTGAGACGGCTCCATCAGACGATCGTTGGAGGATGCTAATTCTGGACGGCCACGGCAGCCACATTGATCTGGAATTCCTGTGGACCTGCAAGCAGAATAAGGTTCAGCTTCTATTTCTACCTGCTCACTCATCTCATGTATTGCAGCCACTAGATCTCTCAGTTTTCTCAGTAGTGAAGAGATTCTACCGAAACCAGATCCAGGAACTATCGCATCTAGATGACGCAGCGCCTGTTAAAAAAGAACGTTTTATTACAGCCTACTATAACGCTAGAGAGGCTGCGATTACTGAGAGAGTAGTACGAGCTGGATGGGCCACTGCAGGCATCTGTCCATTGAACATTGAGCGGGTAGTTAACTCCTCACAGGTAGCTCAGAGGCCTGTTACGCTACCACGTCAGAATCAAGCTCAACCTGCTGAGAGCTATCTATCTACCCCCCATGGACCTCGTGATCTTTTATAGCTCAGCGAGGCTGCACAGGAACGAGGTGTTAGCCGCAAGACTCACCAGCTTATTCAAAAGCAGGCAAAGCTATTGCAGTAGCAAATACTCGCGCAGCACAGCTAGAAGCAGAGAACAAAAGACTATATAGTCAACTTGAGGCTCTTAAGCCTCAGCAGCCACGAAAGAAAGTTCATGTAAATTCAAATCAACGCTTTGCAGATATAGAAACAATTATGGTAGCAGTGCAGGCGTCTGCTCTTTTAGAGTTACAAAACAATAGTAACGCTGCAGAAAAAGCAGCAGAGAGAGCAGCAGCTGAATCAGCAGCTCAAACTCTTCAGTCTATGTGTACAGGGTGGCAATTGTAACTAGGTTGAATTAATTACGTTGATTTTTGATGGGTGGCCGAGTTCTGGGCGGGCGGCCAGCTTCAGTGGGTGGCCAGCTTCGGTGGCCGCTAGCTTATGCATAAAACCTCAATGGCTGCTGAGATTTGTCCCCAACGCTAGTGCTAGCGGAAATTAATCCCTTAATATGGCTTAGCGCGTGATTCATCAACGCGACATCGTCGCGATACAGCGCGTCGTCGCAACAGATCAAGCACAAAGAGGTTTTAGGTGCGACTCGTCAATTTACTTTTGCGTCCTAGCATGGAGGATATAGCACCCCCTCCAGACTTGCTCTACAGCTCATATGAAGAAGCGTATACCGCGCTCAAGACGCATGGCATGCAGCATGGCTACGGCTTCGTCCTCAAACGAAGCTGGCCTCACAATTCGACTGTTAAGACACGCTATTACTATCACTACGATCGTTTCAGAAACAACTACCAGTCAAGCGCGAAGGTTCTAAGCACAAGCACACGCTCTACTGGGTGTCCTTTCAAGCTTGTCATCTTCAGGACAAAGGACACCGATCAGTGGAAGCTAGAGGTACAGAACAAGGACCACAATCATCGCCGGTCAATCAACTCTAGCGCGCACAATGTCTACCGCAGGCGTACACCAGCACAGAAGGAAGTGATTGAATCAATGACCCGTGCTGGGGCGCGGCCTATGCAGATATTGGCTGCCATCCAGAGAGAGGATCGGGACACACTGGTATCTGCCACCGATATCCGTAGCGAGAGGAAGGCTATCAGAGAGAAGCACCTCAATGGAAGAAGCCCTGTGGAGACATTGCTAGATGAATTGTCCACGACAGACTGGATCTTTGCGGTCAAGAAGGACGACAACAATCGCATCCAGAACCTCTTCTTTGCCTACCAGAAGCAGATCGAACTTCTGCTAGCAAACCCTGATGTACTGTTGATGGACTGCACGTATCGAACAAACAAGTACAAACTTCCTCTGCTGCATATACTAGGCTGCACTAACCTGCAGACGTTCTTCTCTGCGGGCTTCTGCTTCCTAAGTAATGAGACGCATGCAGACTACCACTGGGCGATCGCAAACTTCCTCCTCAAGACAGGTGTACAACAACCACGTGTGTTCATCAGCGACTAAGAAGAAGCATTAAAGATGTCAGCTCGCTCGTTGCTTCCGGGAGTTCCTCAGCTCTTATGCGTATGGCACATCAACAAGAACGTTCAGACAAAAGCACAACAGACATGGCGAGACGCTGATGGCGTGACAAAAGAGGAGAAGCAGAGGATCGCTGAACAGAGGGCCTCATTCATGAAACGCTGGACTCAGGTATACTAGCCCTTAACGTTGAGAGCACTCTAGAGCAGCTCTTTTCTAAATTAGATAACTTTGAGCTAACTAGGGCAGCTTGTCTACGCAAAGAGACCGTTAGAGTTCCAATTTAAATGGAACGATTTGCTTAAAGACTACAATCACCAGCCAGAGCTTTGCAGGTACTTGCAAGAAAATCAATACCAGACACGCATGGAGTGGGCAGCTGCGTGGACCTCTCATCATCGACACTACAACACAATCACAAGCTCACCTGTGGAGGGAATGCACAAGGTCCTAAAGGACTATCTTATGACCTCAACTGGCGACTTACTTCGTGTTGTTGGGAGGATTGAGCAGATGGTCAAGAGTCAATACAATAAGTATAAAAAGGAAATTGCGTCTTCTAAACACACCACTAAGTTTCAGCACAAGCTTGAGTCCATGCCCTTCCTTCCTCCTGGCATTCACGATGTCCTCACACCGCCAGCCATAGAGCGCATCAGGCAACAAGATCTACTGCGCCAGAAAGAGCAACGGCAGCGTCGTGGCAGGCATCCCTGTTCAGGCCTCTTCGAGAAAACAAATGGTCTTCCATGCCGTCATACGCTGCAAGAAGTGATGACTGCTAGATCTACACTACGATTGAACTACCTCTACGATGATCACTGGCGTTATCAACGTGAGCGAGGACTTTCAGTACGCTTATCCCCTAGGCCGCACCAGTCTGTTCTGGAGCCCCTTACCGCTCAAACAAGAGGCGCGCCAAGGAGGAACGGAGCATCAACTCGACGAGACCCATCGGCTTTTGAACGACATGTGCCACCTTCTATTCCTCGCTTTCAACCCTACCATGAAACCCAAGGTCAAACACTTGCTGAAGCTCTACAGCAAGCCAGCACTTCCGTCACCATTTCGATTCCTACATCTGCACCAGATACGGGTCCTGTAACCACCTGTATATCTGTGTCAATACCAGCACCTGCTCCTCTGCCTCCTCCCACCTTTCTTCGGTCATCTCCGCCTGTGGCTATCGCTGTGTCAGTGACCGCGGCTTCGCAACCTGTCTGGCAACCTCCGTCGTTGGAGGAGTTCCTAGCCGACATTGCAGGCCGACGGCCTCAACTCGTTCCGTATCAGTACAACGATATGATGTCAGTTACTAACTTTCTAGCACAGACAGGGCAGCAGGATGATCCTGCAGAGCTAGTAGAAGCGCGGAATATGGCCCTAGCCACAGAAGCAGGGCTCGCAACGGATCAAAATCAAATCAAAGCTTGATTGATTTGATTTGAATAGCTTGATTTGTTTTTGATTTGAGATAAACTTGAATAACTTGCTTTGAATTGAATAACTTGATTTGATTTGAAAATTTCATGGTATAACCTTGTCAGCCACTAAACGTGAAACCTAAAGTGCGGCGGACAGATAACCGGGCAACTCTATTGGCCAAACTAATGATCTGACTTCCATCACTCCTGCTTCATGTCTTATGCCTCATGCCTCACTCATGATACCTCTAGAAATATACTCAATCTACCTCTACTGCACACTGCAGTGGTGCGCACGATCTTCTTTTAAAATATGTTCTATCCCTTAGCATGACATCAATATCTTCTGACTCGCTTGCGAGCTTATCCAACCTGCCTTTGTCTCTAACATGCGAACGTGAGTATGCTATTCCACATAGCTTCGATATCAATACTCGATTTTGCGGCGGCTATCTGCTCCGACGTCAGCTTGCACATAAGCACTCTCGACAACGCCGAAGTTGGATCTACAATCACGGCGCCCTCGTCTATCACCCATCAAACCCAAGCAAAGACCGTTGGATTTGTACCCACTGTAATAGTGCTGGTTATGAGACTACCTTTGATCCAGTGTCCTCAACAGCAGCAGCAGGGCATCTACTCCGAAAGCATAACATCGGCCAAGTAGAGCGAAACAATTCACCCGACACACATGGCCTGTTCGACCTTGACAGCTGTGTTGAAGACAACAGAATAAGCACCTTGAATGCTCAACTCAGGGCTATGGATGAGCGCCTCCGCACGTTCACGAACATCGACTTCCTTGAATTCCAGCGGAGGCTAGTTGATTAGGTAGTTCTTAACAACCAAAGCTATGACGGAGCGTCCTCATTACAAGCGAGAGAGCTTTTCAAGGCCCTCAACCCAGAGATTGATAACAGGTTTCTATACTAAAGTGGCAACTCTATTAAGCGACTAATTAAGGCTCACTATAGCTATGGTAAGCGTGCTCTCCTATTCTCTCTTTCTTGACTTTATAGACTGACTAGGTCCTGAAGCTATTGGTGTACTTCATTGCTCTATTCAAGCCGCACGATCGAAGATCTCGATTAGCTTTGATATCTGGTCATCGTACAATCACCTCTCCTTCCTTGGCGTTGAAGCCCACTACCTGAATACCGATTACGAGCGGGTGGACGTCCTTGTTGCCCTCCGACAGATCCACGGCCGTCACACTGGAGAGGCTATCTGCGACCTTATACGCACAATCTGCAATGAGCACGAAATTCATAGCAGTAGCATTGGCTATATTGTTAGTGACAATGCCTACAATAACGACGCTGCCTGCCAGCTCCTTGGAGATGTGTTCTCCTTCGACTGGCGACATCGTCGTTTACGATGCGGAGGCTATATTATCAACCTTGCAGCTCAATCAGCCTTGGCCTACAAGCCTAGCGCGTCTATAAAGAGGAAGTTGAATGAGGATGCCCTTAATGACGAGCGAGTTGAGGATGTTGCCAGGCAGAACGACCGGGACACTCAGTTGCTTGCCACCGCTTTTAACCTAGTTGACCCACAAGACGAAGGGTCTCTTTAGGTACAGCAGGCTGAGTGGAGGAAAAGAGAAGCAAATGGCAAGGCCCATAACATCGTCAACTACATCTGTGCTTCAGACCAGCGGAGAGAGAACTTTAGAAAGGCTCAGAAGGAGGTTGAAGGTCAGGCAGAGGTTAAGAAGATCTTCTCGCTAGTCTGTGACGGCGGTGTGCGTTGGAACTCATCATATTGTATGATACACAGGCGTAAGTTTTGTGTTGGAGAAACACTAAGGCTACTGCATTAAGTACTAATTCTGATACAGTACTTAAGCTTCGAAAGTCAGTTGACTTCTACCTCTTTGAACTCGAACAAGCTGGCGACGAGCTTGTAAGCAATGACCGGCTTACGGCCGCTGACTGGGACACGCTTACCGCGATCGAAGCACTGCTTAAGCCACTTTACCTAGCAACAAAAAGACTAGAAGGCCAGAAGGTGAATATCTCGACATGGCTTGATGAGATTGAGAAGCTCCTCGAATACTATGAACAGTGGACTGAGCGAAGCAAGAGACAGCCCCAGCCAAGTAAGGAGGTAAAGCAATTTGCAGCTTTAATCTGGGCAAAGCTCGACTTCTACTACAGGGTTTCAGACCAAACACCAGCCTACACTGCGGCCCGGATCCTTAACCCCAACATCAATTGGCGAGGTCTTCAGAAACGATGGGAGGGTCAGTCTAGATGGCTTAGTGGCGCTCAAAAGCGTTTTGAAACGCTGTGCAAGTCCTACGATACTAGATCTATCGGTCCTGACGTTGCTGTAGAGCCGTCAACTGTTACTAGAGCTACTCAAGCTGCTCAATCGCAGGCCAATGTCCTTATCCCAGAGACTCAATTCGATGACGACCTCCTCTTCTCCGACGACTACGTTCCTTCTGAGCCTGACACGGAGACGCTCGCACAAGAGCTTGACCGTTACTACACAACACCAAAGGTACCACGGCGTGATGGCATCGTAATAGATAAAGTCACTGGCAAACGCAAGGTTGTGAAGGAACCAATAGATCTTATCACTTGGTGGCGCAATAACAAGGAGCGCTTTCCTACACTGCATAAGGTAGCGCTTGATATCTTTGCTGCACCAGCAATGAGTTCAGACCTAGAGCGTCGATTCAGTGAGGCTTCAAAAACGTGTACACCGAATAGGAGCTCACTATTAGGGTCTACGTTAGAGAGGAATCAGGTCCTTAGGTCTCTCATACAGGAGGGTGTGGTACGAGAGCGTCGGGTAGCAAACATTGCTGAAACTGAATACTCTGACATTAATTCTGAGGACTCTGATTAACTGCTTCTGTATATAAAATCTCATCGTAATGTATCACTGTAGAGGCTGTGAGTCACTGGCGTACGATTAGTATATCTATTGTTCATAAATGCGTTTTGTTTAATTCAACAAGTATCGTAACGTGCCCCACTATCGAGATGCGCACACCATCGAAATGCGCACGAAATACAGCAATCTATGTTCGCATGCGAATAACTCAACACCACAACAAGCTATCTACGCATTTAATAGCTCGAATTAATCCTCTACTTCTGCTGCATATTTCTTGCATGTGCGCTTATTATGTCCTGCCTCGCCGCAGTTCTTGCAGCGTCGGATACCTCCTGCACTACCACCTGCGCGCACCCTCTCCTGACGCCTCTCCACCTCTAACTGGATCTCAACATCCCTTTGCTCAACTATATCCTCTGCCTCTGCCTGCGATAGGGTTCCTCCCTTCTGGATTCGCTTTTTCTTGCGCTTTTTACGTTTAGATGCTGCCTGGTTTGCCTCCTCAAGGTTGGCTATTCTAGCCTCTAGCAACGTGTGTGAGTGCACCTTCAAAGTTGATCCCTTTTGACCTGCAACACTATCTCAATGATAGAATCAGGTGATGATTCCTTGTGATCTGTTATCCTCTTGACAATCAGCGTTGTTTGAGCCTCTATCTCCCAGGCGTTGCTTGGTGTTTTAGGTTCCTAAGGGGTAGGCCCTAATGCA